CGTTAATCTGTCTAATGTTGACAGTGGGGTGTTAAAGTCTCCCATTATTATTGTATGGGAGTCTAAGTCTCTTTGTAAGTCTCTAAGGATTTGCTTTATGAATCTGGGTGCTCCTGTACTGGGTGCATATATATTTAGGATAGTTAGCTCTTCCTGATGAATTGATCCCTTTACCATTATGTAATGGCCTTCTTTGTCTCTTTTGATCTTTGACAGTTTAAAGTCTGTTTTATCAGAGACTAGGAGTGCAACCCCTGCTTTTTTTTTGTTTTCCATTTGCTTGGTAGATCTTCTTCCATCCCTTTATTTTGAGCCTATGTGTGTCTCTGCATGTGAGATGGGTCTCCTGAATACAGCAAACTGATGGGTCTTAACTCTTTATCCAGTTTGCCAGTCTGTGTCTTTTAATTGGGGCATTTAATCCATTTACATTTAAGGTTAATATTGTCATATGTGAACTTGATCCTGTCATTATGATATTAGCTGGTTATTTTGCTCGTTAGTTGATGCAGTTTCTTCCTAGCATTGATGGACTTTACATTTTGGCATGTTTTTGCAATGGCTGGTACCGGTTGTTCCTTTCCATGTTTAGTGCTTCCTTCAGGATCTCTTGTAGGGCAGGCCTGGTGGTGACAAAATCTCTAAGCATTTGCTTGTCTGTAAACGTTTTTATTTCTCCTTCACTTACAAAACTTAGTTTGACTGGATATGAAATTCTGGGTTGAAAATTTTTTTCTTTAAGAATGTAGAATATTGGCCCCCACTCTCTTCTGGCTTGTAGAGTTTCTGCCAAGAGGTCTGCTGTTAGTCTGATGGGCTTCCCTTTGTGGGTAACCCGACCTTTCTTTCTGGCTGCCCTTAACATTTTTTCCTTCATTTCAACTTTGGTGAATCTGACAATTATGTGTCTTAGAGTTGCTCTTCTCGAGGAGTATCTTTGTGGCGTTCTCTGTATTTCCTGAATTTGAATGTTGGCCTGCCTTACTAGTTTCGGGAAGTTCTCCTGGATGATATCCTGCAGAGTGTTTTCCAACGTGGTTCCATTTTCCCCATCACTTTCAGGCACACCAATCAGACGGAGATTTGGTCTTTTCACATAATCCCATATTTCTTGGAGGCTTTGTTCATTTCTTTTTACTCTTTTTTCTCTACATTTCTCCTCTTGCTTCATTTCATTCATTTGATCTTCAATCACTGATAATCTTTCTTCCAGTTGATCGAGTCAGTTACTGAAGCTTGTGCATTTGTCACATAGTTCTCATGTCATGGTTTTTATCTCTATCAGTTCTTTTAAGGTCTTCTCTGCATTGATTATTCTAGTTATCCATTCATCCATTCTTTTTTCAAGGTTTTTAGTTTCTTTGCGCTGGTTATGTAGTTCCTCCTTTAGCTCTGAGAAGTTTGATCAACTGAAGCCTTCTTCTCTCAACTTGTTAAAGTCATTTTCCATCCAGCTTTGTTCCATTGCTGGCAATGAGCTGCGTTCCTTTGGAGGAGGAGATGCGCTCTGATTTTTTGAATTTCCAGCTTTTCTGCACTGCTTTTTCCCCATCTTTGTGGTTTTATCTGCCTTTGGTCTTTGATGATGGTGATGTACTGATGGGGTTTTGGTGTGGGTGTCCTTTCTGTTCGTTAGTTTTCCTTCTAACAGTCAGGACCCTCAGCTGCAGGTCTGTTGGAGTTTGCTTGAGGTCCACTCCAGACCCTGTTTGTGAGGGTATCAGCAGCGGAGGCTGCAGAAGATAGAATATTGCTGAACAGTGAGTGTTGCTGTCTGATTCTTGCTCTGGAAGCTTCATCTCAGGGTGTACCAGCCGTGTGAGGTGTGATGTGTCGGTCTGTCCCTAGTGGGGGATGTCTCCCAGTTAGCTACCCAGGGGTCAGGGACCCACTTGAGCAGACAGTCTGTCCATTCTCAGATCTCAGCCTCCGTGCTGGGAGAACCACTGCTCTCTTCAAAGCTGTCAGATAGGTACTTTTATGACTGTTTTTAACTGTATATTCACATGACTCTCTCCCTAACATGACCATAATCTCCTTGAAGCCACATGTAGTTTTATCGCTATGAAAAACTTCTAGCACCTAGCAAAGGATTAGGCATTTAGTCTGATGTTTGGTGAGTACATTTAGCTTCTATGGCTTGTAAGTGTTATAGAGGAGCTACCAAAGAAAAACTAACTGACAAGAGGAAAAGAAAAATTCTCATTGGTCTTCTAAAAACTTGCCCAATATTTATGGTTTCTCTCATCATGAAGACTATTACTTTGGTGATCCTCAATAAACCATGACTCCTACCATTCCAACTCTTGTGCCAGCCTTCCCAACATTGCCTCTGGTCTTGGCCATGTTAGCTTTGGCCACTGGAATATTGGCAAGGATGAAGACAGCGGATGCTTGACCATTGCTTGTACACTGGGTTTGTCCACTTGAAGTGCTCTTTCTTGGAACCCAGGTGCCATGTTCAGTGTAAGTCCAACAAGCCATGTGAAGAAAAACCAAAGCCCCTGGATGAGAGTCCCAGGTGAGCATCCAGCTGAGGGCCACCAACAACTTTGATGCACACAGTCCTCAAAATCATCCTTAGCTAAAACCATTGCATGTCTCTCTTAAAAGCCATATTAAAGGCATATTAAAGGTTTAACTGTATTGGTAAAATGTCATTGCCCATGGAAAAGAATGAAACCTCCTTCACAAAAGAATCATTACAATTGCCAAAAAAAATCTGAAACTCATTCATAAATTGGAGATGTTATGGTGGAAGCCTTTTATTAGTTAATGCGTCTCTATATTGAGATTACAAGCACATTGTAAATTATCTCTGGGGAGAGGCATTGGGTCCAATTAGTGAAGGGGGTGAATTCTCACAGAAGAAAAGAAAGTGATAGGGGGTCGAGCTGTTCAGGTGGTGGTTCCTACATGACCATAGTCCCATTTTCCTTATGGGCATCCTCATTTTCTGGTATTTCAACATGGATTCGGGTATTTTGGAAAAAGAAAAAGAAAAAAGAACATTATAGAAAGAGCAGGCTCAAGAATCACAGTCCAAGTCTGGGCACAACTACATGGAGCGGCTATAAGGGTTTCATATTAGTCAAGGTTCTCTAGAGAAACAGAGTCAATAGGATGGGTGGATAGATAGATAGATAGGTAAGTAGATAGATAGATAGATAGATAGATAGATAGATAGATAGATAGATAGACATTGGTAAACATATAGATAATGATAGATAGATAGATAGGTAGATGTTGCTAAAAATATACATACTGATGGATGGATGGATAGATAGATAGATAGATAGATAGATACATAGATAGATAGATAGATTTAGTATGAGAAATTAGCTCACATGATTATGGAGGAGGAAGAAAACCAATAGTCTGCCATCTGTAAGCTGGAGACCCAGAAAAAGTGGTGATATAGTTAAGTCCAAGTCCAAAGCCCTAAGAACCAGGGGACTCAATGGTGTATGTCTCAGTCCAAGGGCAGGAAAAGAACAATGTCCCAGATCAGTCAATCAGGAAAAAGAAACCAATTCTCCCTTCCCCACCTTTTGTTCTATTCAAGTCCTCATGACTTGGATGATGCCACCTACTTTGGGAAGGGTAATCTGCTTTAGAGTTTGCCAATTCTAATGCTAATCTCCTCCCTCACATACATGCCCAGAAATAGTATTTAGCCAACTATCTGGGTACCCCACGTTTCAGTTAAGTTGACACATAAAATTCACCATCACAGATTTCACCCAAGCTGAAACTGAGCCCCAGACTATAGATGTACATGCATGGATGCACAGGTGTGTAGGTCTCTGTAGCATCATATATTTTATACATACTATTAATACATTTTATGTATATACACTATTTGTTCATTCAAAAATATTTTTAAAGTACCTTCTATGATTTAAGTTCTGGCTGGGTATTAAACAGTAAACAAGACAAATATGATCTCTACCCAAAGCTTATGTCATCACATTTTACAAAACAACTAAGTCCTACAGACAAATAAAACAGTGATAAATAACTGATAAAAGTTTTGAAAAAGAAGAGATACATCATAGCAATTTTTTACTTGAAAAATTTATACCTTAGCTGTAGGGCCGACACCTTCACTATGTAAACTTTTATGTTTTTCTAGTTCAATAAAAGATTAGCATTTGGTGTTTAAATGCATATTTAAGGGAACAATAATCCCAATGACTCCTCAGTTAACTATTCCTAAAGGAAGTTTACTATTCAAATCATGAGATATCATCATTATCTTCCTAGGGACAGTATGCACCAAGTACAGGAAGGTTACTCAAAACTTACTAAAAAAGGGACAGAAAGGAGAGTTGGAAATCCTAACCACCTCTCCTCCAAGGATTCTATTTCAAACCTAACTTTCCTGGTACTCTGCCAAACAAAACAATATGAACACCCAGATACAAAAGGAGCAGCTTCTATTGTCTAATTCCCTGTATGGATAAGCTGGTTGCCAACTCTATAAATATTTAATAAGAACCAAACTCAACTAGACCCATTAATGACTCTTTGAAAGTATTTTTATTATGAAGTAGTATTAGATACATGTAAAAGAATGCATGAAACTTTGCTTCCAGCCCTTGAATGTGAGTTCTTTGAATCACACTCTGCTCTCTGTTTATGGAGTTTTCTGTTTCTTACAGTGAAAGGAACTGTGAACGTAAGATGTAACTAAAGAAAGTAGAATAACATTATCGATATCTAGCAGTTTTTGAGCACTCCTTATGAGCTAGTTACTGTGCTGTGGGATGCTCGTGCCTCATTTTATCAATCTTCCCCCCACCTTTGATGAGGTAGGTATATCATCCTCTTCCTCTTTGGCTTTCATTTGTTTTCTTAACGTTTTTTACTTGTTTGTTTTTGTAACTGCTTTATTGAGATATAATTTACATACCATACAATTCATCCATTTAAAGTGTATGATTCAGTGGGGTTTTTTTGCACATTCACAGAGTTGTGCAATTATCAACACAATTTGAGAAAATTTTTAATCACTGCAAAAACAAAAACCCCTCTATAACCTTTAGCTATTGCTTTTCTTTGAATGTGGTGTCCCTCAAAAAGTTATTAATATGTTGAAACTTAATACTCATTAAGGTGGTAATAAGAGGAGGGCCTTTTGGGAAGTGATTAACTCATGAGGACTCCGCCCTTATGAATAGATTAATACCTGTATAAAAGAGGCTTCAGAGAGAGTTTGCCCCTCTTGCCTTCCACCTGCCGCTATATGAGGACACAGCAGCAAGGTGCCATCTTGGAAGCAGAAAACAGCCCTCGCCAGACACCAACATTGGTGGCTTCAGAAGTGTAAGAAGTAAATTTTTGTTCTTTATAAATTACCCAGTCTGTGGTATTTTGTTATAGCAGCATAATTAGACTAAGAGAGCTATTATCCCTAATCCCTCATCATTTCCCCTGTCACTAGACTATTATTAATCCACTTTCTATCACTGTGCATTTTCCAACTTTAGACATTTCATGTAAACAGAATCACATAAAATGTAGTCTTTTGTGACTAACTTCATTCATGTTCTGTAGCATGTTTTCAAGGTTTATTCATGCTGTAGTATGTTTCAGCACTTCATTTCTTTGTATGACTAATATTCCATTGTGTGTATACATCACACTTTGTTTATCCATCATCTGTTGATAGACATCTGTTTCCACTCTTTGGCTGTTATAAATCATGTTACTACGAATAACCGTATACGAGTTTTTGTGTTAACATGTATTTTAAAAAATTATCTTGGGTGTATACCTGGAAGTAGAAATGCTGGGTCAAATGGTAACTCTATGTTTTAACTTTTTTAGGAATAGCCACACTGTTTTCCAAAGTGACTGCAGCGTTTCATATTTCTACTAGCAACATCATCATCTTCCTTTTACAGAAGAAGAAACTCATATCGCGGAAAAGTGAGGATGAAATCCTCTGACCACCCTACCTTTAAAGGTCCTTTAAAGGGAAAGAACTGACAGTGTAAGTGGAAAGAGAGCAATTGGAAGTAGCAGGAGAGGGAAAAGCCATTATCATACAACTGGTGGGAAGAAGGAATGTCAAAAACATCAGTGTGAAAATAATTGCAGCAAAAAGGTAAATCCCAGTAATTACTGAAAAGAGTTTTTTAGGATGTGGGCAATGGAAGGTACATGGTGATTCTCAGAAGTCTCATGGGCAAGCAGTAAGTGAGATTGCCATGGGTGACAGAGCACATGTTACATAAGGAGGTGAAGGCAGCATGATTTTGAAATTCAGGTGATGGAGGGCCAGGAGCGGTGGCTCAAACCTGTAATCCCAACACTTTGGGAGGCCGAGGTGGGTGGATCACGAGATTGGGAGATCGAGACCATCCTGGCTAACACGGTGAAACTCCAACTCTAGTAAAAATACGAAACAATTAGCTGGGTGTGGTAGTGGGTGCCTGTAGTCCCCGCTACTCGGGAGGCTGAGGCAGGAGAATGGCGTGAACCCAGGAGGCGGAACTTGCAGTGAGCCGAGATGGTGCTACTGCACTCCAGCCTGGGTGGCAGAGCGAGATCCTGTCTCAAAAAAAAAAAAAACAAAAAAAAAACAAAAGGGTAAATTCAGGTGATGGAAGGAAAAAGAGTAGGAATCCCTCATCTTTGGATGGAGAAGGCATGAGCAGGTCTATGGAGGCAAGAAGCTGGAGTGATTAAGATACTGTACAATGAGGTAAAATGATGTACTGGAAAAGCTGAGGAGGGGATAGCTTCTCAAGAGTTAATGAATGGGTGTGTTTCATACAGAGAGAGACCTATTTCTCTTCGGCCACAAATGGAAGGAGAGATAAGGGTGACTGGGGGATACATTCTGGTCTGATCACATCTTCCAGAGTTAATATGTTGATTAGGCTCAGAAGTCCTAAGAAGATGCCAGGACACAAGCTGTTTTCCTTTCTTCTCTGCAGGAGGAAGGTTATCTCTGGGCTCCCACTCCAACCCCCACTATGCCCTCATAACAGCTTCCAATGCAATGGATAAGAAGTCAATGAGTGGCAAGAGTGGCTTTTTAGCCTATCCCACCCATTCAAGGAAGGCTTAAGCCTTGAGTCAAATCCTAGAGTGAGAATTTCTTTTGTATTTTCTGACTTTCTCTGTGCATTCATTATAGCCCTCATGGAAGCTGGGTTTTCTTGAGAAGTAAATGTAGATTCCTGAGCTATAAGAAACCAGCTTGAAGACTCTTTCTGAACTGTCATTAATCATGCTTGTTCCTTAGTATATTTATTACGTATTACATTTTTTTCTTCAAAGTCCCAAAAAGCCTTCCTAATTGAGAAGCCAGGAAATAGTTCATTGTTTCTTAAAAGTGGAAGTGATAGCACTTTCTTACGGTAAGTCTGGGCCATTCCAGTTGATAGTACTGATTTATAAAGCCTGTTGGGGTTTTCCTCAGAGAAGAAGGAAAAACCTCATTGCATGTACTAGCAATACACTAACCACAACCCCCGGCCGATATCAGAGGCATTTTAATAAAATCCAGCATAGAAATGCAGATTTTGTTACATCGATTCCAACTGATAATTAACTACAAACGTTTGACAATCTCAGAAAAAAATGTTTGGCATGACTACATGTGGTTTAAAATCTAGATTACAAATTCTGGGGGTGGTGAGGAGTGGAGAAAGCTATATTTTCAAGTAAAAGGAGAACTTTTGCTGTGGACTGTTAGGACACCTCCTGGGTCCCAGTGAGGGCCACTTCTGAGCAGCTGCAGCCACTTAGACCAGGCCTGCATCTTCCCTCTGCAGAGAAGGATAGCCTACCCCAGGGTCCCTTGTGGTTCTGAATGTGGTCCTACGTAGTCAGAGACAAGAAAATGTTCCTTTGCATAATTATCTTCCTCTATTTCTATGGCCCTTTTACATTATCCAAGGAGGTTTGCATCCAAAGAAGCTCTTGTTACTGTTTTGGTCATAGCTGATTGGAGAGGCGAGACAGGTGTTTTTACCTGAGGTCCATGGAGATCACAGGGTTTTTCGAGTCATCATGAGCTTGGGTAGGAGAAAGATGGTTCCAAGTTTCTTGGCAACATTTTCTGGAAATATATTCATCAGACCCTATCTAGCAGGCAGAATTTAAAAAGCAATTTGCTCCCTTTTGTGTGTGCCTTTGAGGATGAGAGACTAAAAGAATAGCTTGAGTATCCATGGGGCAGGAGGAGGTTTTATCTGAAAGACACATCTGATATTGCTAGTACCTACAATACTGATGTTGGTTTCTTTTGGAGACCCCAAGTTCTCCAGCCTACTGGAGTTACCCTGTCCTGTGATATTTAAATAGAAACTGCTTGAACCCTCATTTCACGGAAGTGGAAACTGTTCTGTGTCTTCCCAACCCCTCACATCCGCAGGGATTTCCCAGGTACTTATGAGTTTCCTGGGGAGTCCAGGTTTCTACTGAATTCTCCATTTCCTGATGTCTCCTTGTAGAGCTCCTCCTCTCTACCACCCTATGTCCACCATGCTGCACTTTTCCCTGAATTTTCCAAAACCATAACCATACAAGGAAATTATGTATAGTGTAATTTAAGTGGAGATTTTGGCACGATGCCCAAGAGCAATTGCCAGAAGCAATATAAAGGTGAACAACTATCCTCAAAATTCCCCTGACCATGTAGCCCTGCTAGTCCAAAAGACAACTTTCTGTAAACTTAAAAAGAGTGCATCCTTCAAGGTCTTTATTATCATCTTGTTAAAAGAAAAACCTTAGACAAATTAAATTTAATACAGTTTAGTTGAGCAAAGAATGACTCATGAATCAGGCAGCCCCCAAACTGGAACAGGTTCAGAGGCTACAACATACTCACAAAATGAAAGAAGATTTATGGACAGAAAAAGGAAGTAAGGTACAGAAATAGCTGGATTTGTTATAGGCCAGTGTTTGGCTTATTTGAGCACAGTTTAAACAGCTGGCTGTCTTTGATTGACCAAAACTTGGTGATTGGCACAAGAATAGGTTACAGTCTGTTTATACCTCCAATCAGGTTACAGTTCACTGTGTATGGGGAAACACTTATGCTGAATGTAGACTATAGAAGGAGGCAGCTTTAAGCTAAACTTAATTTAACAATTACCCCAACTTTAGGTGGTGATTCATTCTGTCATCATCATAAATGTACTTATTTGTTCTCCAGTTCCACTGGGAAATAGCAGAACAATGGGTTTTGAAAGTTGGGAACAAGGACATCAGGCAATTTTTTGTAAGGGTTAGAGTAGAGGGGACCTTCTTGTGCTGCAGTTAAACAAAACATGGTCTGTTTTAGAACCTATCTACTTCCTTAAAGTTTCAGTTTGATTATATCACATTTAGCATGAGTGACTTCATTTTGGTTTGGTCTGGTCTGCTGTGGCCTAGTGCATGAGTTCAATCCAAAATAATGGCCTCCCATAATTTCATTTAACAATTTGCTGAGAAATTGTTCTAATAGTTATGTGAACCAGCAAGCCGGTATTGCCAATATTTCTCCCTGGAGTTATGCAGTGCACAACTGACACAGCTGGGAGCAGTGCCATTCCTCCCACAGGAAGCTTCTCCCTGGCCACCCCTTCTCAGGGCCCAGGCTTCCTAAATCTTCACCACTGTCTCTCTCTTTCTCTCTCTCTCTCTCTTTCCCCACCCCTTCCTTCCATTAATCTCCCTTAGTTCCTTCTATTATAGGTTCCTTTACTCTCTTGCTTTTGATGTTCCTTGGAGACATTTATAATTCTTAGGCCATTATGCAGAGCATCTAATTTTCTACTTCTCTCCCCTTCCCATTCCATCTCAGTCCAAGGCTTACCTTTTCTCATCTGAAATGGCCCATCCTGGCATTTTACTATTAATTCTCTGAGGACTTCTTCTTCCAGGTTTTTCCAATAACTTTCCTCCACTCCTTGCCACATTTTTTAAAAAGAGAGAGATTTTGTTAGACTCTTTATTATGATCCCCATAGCAACTTCTATCTCTCGTTTAAAAATCTTCATATTACAAACCTGGCATATAGTGGATGACCATAAATATTCGCTGACAAAATATTTATGATGGAATGTATAATGCTATGTGGTTTTGTTTTTTTAGAATATATTAGACTGTGAATTAATAATATCAGAATTCCCACCAATAGTTTTGGATTTTACATTTAAGCCTTTAAATCCATCTTGAGTTAATTTTGTATAAGGTGTAAGGAAGGGGTCCAGTTTAATTTTCTGCATATGGCTGATCAGTTTTCCCAGCACCATTTGTTAAATAGAGAATCTTTTCCCCACTGTCATTTTTATCAAGTTTGTCAAAGATCAGATGGTTGTAGATGTGTGGTCTTATTCCTGAGATCTCTATTCTGTTCCGTTGGTCTATGTATCTGTTTCTGTACCAGTACCATGCTGTTTTGGTTACCGTAGCCTTGTAGTATAGTTTGAAGTCAAGTAGCGTGATGCCTCCAGTTTTTTTTTTAAGTTTTGCATAGGATCATCTTGGCTATATGGGCTCTTTTTTGGTTTCATATGAATTTTAAAGTAGTTTTTTTCTAATTCATGTCATATGAGAATGCATGGACACAGGGAGGGGAACAACACACACTGTGGCCTGGCCAGAGGGGCTGGGGGAGGGAGAACATCAGGATAAATAGCTAATGCATGCTAGGCTTAATATCTAGGTGATGGGTTGATAGGTGCAGCAAAACACCATAGCACACATTTACCTATGTAACAAAACTGCACTTCCTGCACATGTATCCTGGAACTTAAAATTTAATTTAATTTAATAATAATAATACTAATAGCATCAGAATTCTTGGTATATGCTTAGCAAAGTACCTAGGTCATAGTGGGTGCTGAGAAGGTATTCATTAAATGAATATTCATCAACAAGTTGACCTGTTTTTTACTGAACCCAGTGGAATCTGCTAAGCTAACCATCATGAGAAATAGTGCAGGAGGTATAGGGTTCATTTTAGATCTTTAGTTTTTATGGCTGATTCATTCATTCATTCGTGGAATGAAATTATTTAAAATGAAAAAAAAACTTCTAGAATGTTAGTCTCCTTACAAAAGATTTTTAAGGACATCATTCTCATTTATTTCCCCCAGAGCCCTATGAAGCAAATAATATCTACCCCTCCCCCTGCCACCCCACTTTATGGATGAGAAAACTAAGGCCTGGAGTGATTGAAGCAACTCAGTTAGGTTCACATGTCCAGTAAATGATAGAACAAGAACTTGAACGTAAACCTACTAATGCCAAGTCTTCTACATGTTCGGCTCCATTATAGCTTCTCCGATTCAGAGGAAGAAGACTGTGACTCCTAAGTTTCCTTTGCAATGTAGATGTTTAAAAAATATGCTTTTTGTAAAAACATAAAATACATTACTCAATATCAGTGCAAGTCTTCAGCCTAGAATCCAGACTGTTAAGTGTGCAGCAGCACAGCATACTTTGAAAGAGGCCTCATAAAAACACAAAGTTGAAATTGTCTCTAAGGATTTTAGCTAAGTAGACTGAATCTATTAGGGAAAATAAAATCTTTTCCCAGAGCTTTGCAGAAGTGGAAAGTGAAAGATTGAGAGCTTGTGAGAAATAACAGATACTTTAAAAAATGTTGAATCGAAATAGAAGAATGGTAGAACTAGAAGGATTTTTTAAATGAATAAATAAAAATGGTACAACATTTGGAATATTTTTTAGGATCATATAATTTTAGGACTGAAAGGGACCAGCAAAAGCATCTAAGGCTCTCCTTTTGTAAAAAGAAACAACATTTTGAGTCACAACCAGGACCAGCTATATAATTAGTGCAAAATGAAACTGTGGGGCCCCTTGTTTACAAAAAAAAAAAAAAATACTAAGATTTCAAGATGATGATAGTACATCATTCAACCAATGGTGGAACCCTCGTAAGTGCAGGGCCCTATGTGACTACACAGTTCACACACCAATGAAGCCAGCCTTGGTCACAATATTATTAACACCAGCATTTTATATTTGTATGTCACTTGACAGCTTACCTAGCATTTTCACAGGTAATCTAATTTGAGTTTTATAATAGCTCAGTAGAGTAGAGCAAGAATTGTTTTCATTGTCAAACATGTCCACACAAGAATACATTTATCAACTATGACATTCTGGTTGACTAAAATGACCCCACACCCCTTGCACCATTTATGTTTTACATCACAGTATTAGCAGTTTCTATTAGATTAAAAGGGAAGCAGTTAAGTTAATTGGCTCATGGATAGTCATTCAACAAACTCTTTAGCATCTGCCATGTGCGGAGTACTTTGGTAAGCATTTCAGACATTGAATTGCAATTTTGCAATAACTTAGTGAAGAAGGTGAATTACCATGCCCAATGTTCTGATAAGCATGCTAAAAATCAGAGATGCCAGTTAGAGTTAGACAGTCAAGGTCACAGATTAGCTACTGAAATAATTAGGATTAGAATGTAGGTCCCCAGACTATTCTGTGATGCTCTTTTAAAAAGTATTAACATCTCTAAAATGAGATAAAATGTAAAATTAATTTGTCTGCCAAGGAAATTAAAGCCAAATCAAAGAGTAAATGACTCTTCTCCCTTTTCTACCTCTCTTTCTGCTACAGTTTCTAGATTAGAAAATAAGAAATATAAATATGAAAATTTCACACATTTTAGGAGATTGCCTTGTTGTTTATATTAGCAAAGCCCAGTGATTAGCGAAGCCCCTGACTCTTGGATGTTCTTAAGTTTTTTCATCTTTTGGGTCATGCTTTCATGTCTTTGATGTGAAATCAGACTTGAGGCCTCAGCCTTTGAAAATAGCAGTCTGGCAGGGTTGTTGGAGGTTTCAGGAGAAACAAAAAGCAGCTTAAGGCAGGCCTTTGAAAGCTTTTATGGATGTTATTTACAGTCACTGAAGGTCAAAAGACAGGGAAGAACCAAAACAGAAGGAGAAAAATATTGTAGGTATGAGTCTAGTAGTCAGGGTGATGTTAAGTTACGCTGCAGTAACACACTCCCAGATTGCAGTGACTTTCACATGAAGATTTATTTTGGTTACATAAAGTTCTTCGCCAAGTCTCGTGACTCTCCAGGGAAACTCCTTTCCAGGTGGTGGTTCAGGGAGCCAATATGCCTTTATCTTGTGATTCCAGTAGCTTAACACATGGCTCCTAAGGTCATTGAGTTTAGGAAAGATACAGCCAAAGAATTATAAAGGAGCGTCTCACTCCCTCAGACTGGAAATGATACCTTGTTACTTTTGTTTATAGTCCACTGGCCAGAAAGAGTCATATGCAAGGCAGTGGTGAAGTGGGTGAGCGCATGCATATTCAATGAGCAATCAGTGTCTTGGCCTCAAGGGCAAGGCTCAGGTAAATTAATTTACTTTTAATTCAATTTTTTAGGAAAACAGGTGATGAGCACTGAAATGATAAGCAGATGATTGTCGATCTTACTAACCCAGATAGTTGTTTTCAGGAAAATTGTAAATGGGAAAATGTTTCAGCTACTTGTATTTTGTTTTGTTTTGTTTGCTTTTTAGCCAGAAAGGCGAAGGAAAAACTGAGAACCACCCTGCATGACCATACATCTCACGTTTAAATAGCAATTTAAACAGTTATTTTTGAAAACAAGATGACATGAGGTGTGATTATCACGTAAGTAATGAAACTGACTTATCCCAAAAACATACAGACAGCATGGATTTTCATAAGGAAAGTGGTCCTTTTCAGAGGCTGAGAAACTCTGGTCAGAGAAGTTCCTCCAAATAGCATCTATGATAAGTGCTGTCACTCCTGGATCTGCGTATTAATTGTAGCAAATTTGGGATGGTGTCTTAGCTCGGGCTGCTGTAGCCAAATGCCACAGACTGGGTGACTTAAACGACACTTAATTTTTCACAGTTCTGGAGGCTGGAAGTCCATGATGAGGGTGCTGGAAGTCCATGATCTGGGAGCCAGCATGATCAGGTTCTGGCGAGGGCTCCCTTCTTGGTTTGTAGATGGCTGCCATTGTGCTGTGTACTCACATGACCCCTTCTTTGTGTGTGCATGCAGACAGAACAAATAAGCTCTCTGGTGTCTCTTCTTGCAAAGGTGCTAATCCCATCATAAGGATTCCACCATCATGACCTCATCTAAGCTTAGTTACTTCCCAGAAGTCCCATCTCCAAATATCACATTGGGGGTTAGGGCTTCAACATAAGAATCATGAATTTGGGGTGGGGAGAGAGACACAGTTGAGTCCATAGCAGGTGGGAAACATGGACTTAAGGATCAGAACTGCCTCTTGCTAGCAAAACCTTCCGAAGAGCAAGTAAGCTCACTTCCGTGAGCAGACAGAGGCTCCTGAAGTAACACAGGTGAAAGGTAAGCGGTCCTGAATTGGGATGATGACAGTAAAAGAGGAGATGGGTTTGAGATGGAATATTCATGGCTTGCGGACAAAGTGAAAAACGTTTAGCATGACCACCCAGGTTGGAAGCCTGGTACCTGGGAGAAGGTTGGTGCCTGGCTGGAAAACCAGGAGAAAGAAGCAGTTTGGGCAGAAGGAGGAAAAGGACTTTGGCAACATGCCCACCTTGGGATCATCTTGAGTTTGTGCGGGAATGTTCTAACGTAAGGGAAATATAAAAATGCCACTTATAAGGAAGACTGCGGCCAGGTGTGATAATTTATGCTTGTAATCCCAACACTTTGGGAGGCCGAGGCAGGAAGATCACTTGATCCTAGGAGTTCGAGGCCAGCCTGGGCAACATAGAGAGACCTCATCTCTATTTAAAAAAGAAGAAAATTCCAGCCTGGGCGACAGAGCGAGACTCCTTCTCAAAAAAAAAAAAAAAAATTAAAAAAAAAATTTAAAAAGAAAAATATAGAGAAAGAGAAGACTGTGTCAGCCAGGCTTGGGGAGGATGGGTAGAAATAGAGTCTGCACGTGACTAATTTCATGAGTGGTCGCTTCACCACTAAGCTAAAATTCCCTATGGGTGGACAAAATTCTTATATCAGCAATGATTTCTGGGCATTAAAGCTTTGTGATACTTACAACAACTAGACGCTTGCAGGCACAGTTGGCTAATTGCCCTTCCATGGCAAAGACAGCTGGAGCAGAACTTCTTTACAGCATCACTTGGACACACAATTACTAACGACCGTAATTTTTCCACGTACACTGAGTACCCAGGCAAGAAAATGTACCTGTGGGAGGATTAGGGGAAATACACTGGAAACTTGGCCCAAAAAAGAAGGAAAAGAGAAGGAAAGAAGTAAGAGGTACAAGCAAGAGGCTATAACTAGATTTCTGAAAGAAGTGAGAAAGAGGGGAAAACAGAAGTGAATCAACAATGGTTGAACTCTTTCCTTGTTCCAGGGCAAGTGCTGAAAAGACAGTCCCTCAACTCTTCTAGTGGAGAAAAAGTCTAGTCCAGAAATGAGTGCAAGAAGGCATGCTGGTTCTGCCAGGCCAGTGGCTGATGCCTGTAATCCCAGCACTTTGGGAGGCTGAGGCAGGTGGATCACCTGAGGTCAGGAGTTCAAGAGCAGCCTGGCTAACATGGTGAAACTTCGTCTCTACTAAAAATACCAAAATTAGCAGGGCATGGTGATGCGTACCTGTAATCCCTGCTACTAGGGTGGCTGAGGCAGCAGAATCCTTTGACTCTAGGAGGCGGAGTCTGCAGTGAGCTGAGATCACGCCATTGCACTACAGCCTGGGTGACAGAGTGAGACTCTGCAAAAAAAAAAAAAAGAAAAAAAAAAAAAGGCAAAGACATGCTGGTTCTTACAGGAGAGGGAAGCACGTTTTGTTGGGGGCACACCCCATTTAGATGAGCATTAGAGGAGTCCATTTTTAGGTGAAAACTGAGGCTCCAAACAGTTAAATGAGTTGCCTGAAGAAACACAATGTGATCACTACGGCTTTATTGGTTGCATGTGACAGAAGCCAAGTCCAAACAAGTTCAAGAATAACAGAAACCAAAAAAAAAAAAAAAAAAAAGGTGGCTCATCTGATAGAAAACTAGAGCGTGCAGAGGTTAATCCAGCTCCTTTCCTGGACCCAGGTGTCCCATCTGTGCCCTGTCTTTAATGTGGCTTTTTTCTGTGTTGCTGTAGCTTCTGGAAGCCTTCCCTCCACTGGGAGGAAAGATGGCCCCACAAGCCACAGGCTGCCATGGTCCTTCCACCTTGCAGCTCAAGGCATCCCCAGAGGAATCCTGATTGGCTCAGCTTGATTGCCTTGGGCCAATGAGCACAACAGGTGGAATCAGAATTGTGAACTCCGATCACATACCGGCTGCTGTGGCGAGGCAAGTGCAGCAGCGGCATGATTGATATCCCTACCAGAATCACCCACAGTAGGGAGGAATATTTCTACAAAGAAGTATATGGGCACCATCCCTTTAAAAAGGGGACAAACACAATCCATGTCCTCTATTCACATTTTAGACATTTGCAGAGTTGAGCTGCAAGCCCAGGCTGCATTCTGAAGTTTGTGTCTTTCTACCTTGCAAAGTGCCTCTCCCAAGTACCTCTGACAAATGAGAACAGAAAGAAGATTTAATGGCAGTGCAAATGAAAGGAAAGGCAGAAATCATTCTGGGAGGCCAAAACACCAAAGAAGAAATAAGAAGAGGAAGCAAGAGAAGCAGGATGAGAGAGGCTGTGGGAAAAAATAAAACCAGGGTTGGGAAAAAAGCACCAAGGCCTATCCTGCAGCCTTCAATCCCTCCTCTGGAATCCCTGCCAGAAGCTGTTGGTGTTTTTCAGAAAGCTTTTTCCCTTCCTCCTTGTTAAGAAGCTGAGAGCCAAATGCCCCATTAATCTTTCAAAAGGCCACTTTGGCTTCTTGGGGCAGAGCCATGCACGTTTGGCTTGCCTCCCTCATGTTCATTTTCCTTTCCCAAAGCAGGGGCACTTGGCAGGCCAACCCAGCTACCCTTTTAGGATCATAGGGACCACAGGCTGTTACCACTGTGGCGTAGTCTTACCTGGGAAGATAGTGGTCATCCCTACACCTCAAGGATTCTCCTCCCATCTGTTTAGTAGGCTCCACTTGACCACATTGCATTTCTCAGGCCCATTTGCAGTGTGAGAAACTCAGTAAACAAAAATAAACCCAGAGCTCCATGTGCCACCACCCCATTGGGCAGCTGCTGTACACCTGGTACAATGCAGGGTGTAGTTGGGGATACTAGGAAGTTCTTTCTCCTAGCAGAGCTACAGTTGGGGTGAGTAGGCGAAAAAGAGACAAACGGACTAAAGAGTAACATGGCACAACAGTGTTGTAACCAAAACAAACAAAATAATGTAAGACGTGTCACTTAAGAGACTCTTTTGTCTTCCTGAGAGCCTTCCATGAGCCAAGTCCTGCACTTGGCCGTGAGGGCACAGGGTCAAATCAGATGTGGACTGTTGGTAGGGACACATGTCTTCCCCACACCACGGGGAACTTTCCCTATGATGTTTCCTCCATGTGGAAGGAGTTCCGCTGATGGGAAAAAGCTGGCATCTCTTCACCCCTTTCCTCCCAGAGGTTGAGTGATAGGTGAATGGTCCATTTGGAATAAGTGATGTGTGAAGAGTCCACTTGCAAAGACTGTAACGGGGCACGCTTATCTCAGCTCCACGTGTTTTGTCCTTTGCAGCTGCTTTGCCAGTGGAGAAGTCTACTGTTGTGAGCTCAATTGTGTCTCCTCCTCACTTGCAAATTTCTAAGCTCAGTATTAATCTCCCATGTGACTTAACATGTAACTGTATTTGGAGAGAGGGCCTTTAAAGGAGTAAATAAGGTTAAATAAGGTCATTGGAATAGGCTTTAGTCTAATATAAGCGGTGTCTTTATAAGAAGAGGAGATTAGGATACAGACACAAGCAGAGGGAAGAACACATAAAGATACAAATAGAAGAAGATGACCATCTACAAGCCAAGCAGAGAGCCTTCCGAAGAAACCACCTGTGGTGACACCTTGATGCTAGACTTTTAGCCTCCGAAATTGGAAGAACAGAAAACTTTGTTGTTTAAGCCACACAGTCTGTGGTATTTATGATGGCCACCCTAGAAAAATAGTAATATACCTACTGTAGCTGGAGTTGGAACCTATGCCCAGATAAACCTTTAAGACTTGGCTGAGCAGGTCTGCCTCCGACTCCATCTCTCACTACCCCTACACTCTTCACAGGGATCTCTGCTTCAGTCCAGTATTGTCTGGATTAAGTTAATAATAAAGTTAAGAGTTTGGCCTCCATCTGTCTTTCTTTTTGTCTCATTTCTTATTTTGTTCAGTTGTTGGGTGAAGAAGTAGGGATACTTCTTATTGGTTTCCTTGAAAACTCCAGATTAGACTATAGCGTCAGAAGAAAAGTTATGGCAGTAGCAAATAACCGCCAAATCTCAGTGGCTTAACAAGGTAGCACCTGATTCCTTGCTCACATTCTGTTATCAGTCTATCATGGTGGAACTTACATCCTACCCATCCAACACAATTCGGCAGGGAGACTCTGCTCTCCCCAGCCACTCAGGCACTCAGAGGCAGTCTCATGACGAGGATCAATGACCGCTGGGGCAGCAGGAACAGGAGATGGTGAATTGCACACTGACTCTGAAGCTTCTCCCTAGAAATGACACGCATCACTTCCCATCGTATTTCATTGGCCAAGTAAGTTATATGATCACTGCTAGCATCAAAACGGTAGGAAACTGTCATCTTATTCTATGTCCAGAAGGAGGACATCTGGGAATAATTGTGAACAGCTCGAATGACCACCACATGCCTGAGAAAGTGACAGCTTAGAGAAGGAGAATGAGTAATTGCCCAAAGATTGTCATTCTTATGTGAGGAAATTGCCCTATTTGTTGGTGTGCATGACCACCTGAAGGTGCTCAGATAAGCAAGTTGCTCCCCTAAGGAGTGAGGCCTTAGAAATGATGACCCCTGCTCCTGCTCACTCAGTAAACAAATATTTGTTAAGCACCTGTGAACATGCCAGGCACTGTTTGAACCCTACAGGGCATGGGGTATCCCTGACCTCCCACCACCTTAATGCCAGCAGAATTCCCCAATCACTGTGACAACAAAAAATCTCCAAAGATTTTCAGCCTAAGGTAGGGTAGAATTATGGCAAAAATATCTGTTTTTGTTGTTGACATTTCATTTTTCGTGATAGGAAAAAACACGCTATTTGGGGGCGGGGGGGCAGGAAGAAACATTCATTTTATAGCAAGTTAGGTGAAAAAGCATTTGGGGACAAAGGAAAAGCAATAGACTTCCACCTTGATGATTCAAAAGTGAGTCATGACAGGCTCAAGAATGATCATCATCAGAGTTCTTAGGAACCTCAGAAAAACAGGTACAAATCCCTGATTTTTTAAGCAAACAACAGGGACCTGATGATTGCAGAGACTTTTTTTTTTTTTTACTTTTATGGGCACAGAGTAGGCATATATATTTATGGGATACATGAGATATTTTAATACAGGCATACAATGCATAATAACCACACCAGGGTAAATAGGTATCCATCACCGAAAGCCTTTATCATTTCATTCCAATTATTCTCTTTTTGTTATTTTTAAAATGTACAATAAATTATTGTTGACTGTAGTCACCCTGTTGTGCTATCAGATACAAAATCTTATTTATTTTATCTAACTATATTTTTGTACCCATTAATCATCTCTTTCATTTCCCCACCACCGCCCCGACTACCCTTCCCAGCCTCTGGTAACCGTCATTCTACTCTTTA